TACAATTCGATTCTTCACGATGAGACGAATCGAATGGTACCAAAATCACATGATTATAATCGACAGTTCATAAGATATCGTTAGTGCGCCGAATTAGGCACCTACCTTATATGAAAAATAGCTTTGGCTTAAAGAGTTTTTTATTTTATAAATCGTACGTACATAATATCCTGATTTCCACACGTCCGTCCTAATTTGCGTTTCCGTTCCGCACTACTTTACTCAATACCCGGGTACTTTAAACAATGTTTACAGTACAGCAGTATAACGTGCGTACGTAACTACACGTAACAGGCAAGACGTTACGTCACTTACGTATATGAACTACGTCATTTAATTATGCCATTTAATTATGCGCATGTGATGCACAATGGCGATAAATTGTGATATGAACGTGTTGATTATACCAATTTTGGTCTAGACTAATCAAATCTTAAAATATATAGATCAGTTAAAACGCGACGGGCGTAATAAATCTTTCTTTCTCGTATAAAACGATAATTATGGCTCAAAATCAACTTTTTTCTACGGTAACTAATGAGGATCTTGAAGATTATGAAAATGATGCATCGAATACGACTATTAATTTTGAAAAGAAGAATGATGAACTTGTCGATGAATTTATTACGAATAATAATACCGCTGAGCAATCGATGAATGCTAAAACTACAGATGAGGATAAACAACCTAACTTTATAGACTCCAGCGAAATCAATGCAACAAGTGAAATTTTGTCAGATCAGAATGATGATATCTCTGTTCGTAATGTTGAAGTCGCTGAAATCTTAGAAAATGATGACAAAGATCCCACTACTATTGATCAAACTGCTACGAAAGAGGTCACTCCGATTGATGATGTTCAATTAATTCTACTTGATAATGATGAAGACCTTCTTCCGGTTGATAAACAATATGATTTCATAAAGACTGAAGAGATAAAGCTCTCTCCTGATAACGATAAAGATATTGATAATCCACATGATTCCATAAAGTATGAGGAAAAGGTTTCTCCTGATGACAAAGAAAATATTGATAGTCAACATGATTTCATAAAGACTGAGAGAAGAGTATCTTATGACGATGAAAACTTTGATAGTCCTGATTCCGTAAAGACCGATGAACAACTATCTCTCGATAATGATGAAGATGTTGAATCATCAACTCCATCTACACCGCAAGGCGATGAAAATATATTGGCAACTATTTCCAAGGTGGCTCCAGAATTAAGTCAAGTTTTAAATACTTGGAACAGTGAATTAAACCGACATAAGGTCTCAAAAGATCTTTCCGATGTCTTGGATAAAGATCCTGACACGGATAAATTATTACAGGATGAAATCACACATGTGAAAGATGATGTCATCAATGATGGGGAAAAACACGATGTAAAAGATAAAGGAGAAGACCTTGCATCAGATATACAAAGTTCTTCATCCGAGCGAATTAAAAATATCTCGAACAAAGACTCTGACTTAGATAAATTATTGCAAGGTGAAATCATATATGTAAAAGATAATGATATCTATGAAGAGGACGTGAAAGATGAAGATAAAGGAGAGGAGTTTATGTCAGATATTCAAGGCTCACCATCTAAACGAATCAGAAATATCACAGATAAAGATCCAGGCTCTGACAAGTTATTGCAAGACGAAATCACACGTATAAGAAAGGATACTATCGAAGAAGAGGAAAACCCCAACGTGAAAGTTGAAGAGAATTTTGTATCAGACATACAAGGCTCACCATCCAAGCGAATCAAAATTGAAGCTAACTCTAACGAAAAATATGGTAAACAATTCCAACCGATTAGTCTGTATAAGTATAATGATTGCCTTAACTTTATTAATCAATTAAATTTCACAGATATAAATGTTTCACAAGTCCAAACTCTCCTTCAACCCACGTCGAGTGCACCAACATCCATCGTTTCCGATGTTGTTGAATCTATGTTTGTTCCAGGATTTAATAGAAATGTCGTATTGGCCATAGATCTTGTTTTCCTGATGCTGCTTATTGTTGAAGGTGTACTTGCAGTAATGACAAATTATAATGTTTACGTACTTGTCCACATGGGGATCACTTTGGTACTATTTATTGCTTTACAATTGTAAGTATTATTCTAAGATCGAATATCTATTTTAATAAGTACAAATGCATTCAATCAAACGACACTTTTTATTCATAGGTTTCTTGCTGAAGCTTATCGTGCACAAATAGAAGAGGTTAGCTTAATTACCAAAAAAGAAGAATAGATGAATAATAAGATGCTACATTTTTTTACTATAACTTTACTTTTGCGTTTTGCACTTTTAAATATGTACTTTTCATATTTTGCATATATTAAATATTTTCGCTTAATAAACAATTTAAAGTTGGAGAAAATACATCAATTAATTCGTAAGTTTATCATGCTTACTTTTGAATAATATAATTACAAAATTCTATCAACTTAAAATGAGATATTACGAAATTAAACATAAAATAATTCTTTAGTTAACAATTTAAACTTTCAAATAAAAAAGTGTGATAAATTTAAAAAATTGTAAAAATTGCAACTAAATATTATGATTGCTAAATTACAAAAAAAAAAAAAAAAAAAGTAAAATCTATCTAAAAAAGAAAGTTTGTTAATTAATGATATGAATTATTTTATGAAATTATTTTACTAATATACTTCTAAGATATATCGCTCCAAGTCCTTTAACTTATTCACCGCTGCTGATGCGTCACCTATTGACAATTCTCCTGCGGTTACAAAACCATTAACAATTGCATCTCTCACATCTGGTACAGGCCACGTAGGCCCACAAAGATAAAACCAGCCTTCATCTTTTAATAAATATTGATGCAATAACTCTGCATCCTCTTGCATCTTATGTTGAATGTACACTTTATGTGGTTGATCACGAGAAAATGCCAGTCGAAGATGTGTGAGTAATCCTTCTGCGTGATAAGCTTCTAATTCTTCACCGTACAAGTATTCCATAGATCGATTACGAGATCCAAAATAAAGAATCATAGGACCAACCTCTATACCTTGTGATTTTCGATAAGCACGTTCCTCAATGAATGCTCGGAATGGTGCCATTCCAGTACCCAAACCTGCCATGATAACAGGTTGAGTATCTCGTGGTGGAAGTTTCATCACTGATGGTTTTATTGAAACTACAACGCGAGAACCAACTTTTAGACCAGAAAGATATCTTGTGCACTGACCGAATCGTTTTTTACCAGTAGACGTTACCCAATCAACAGTAACTACTAATAAATGTACACTATTAGGGTGTACACTTTGTGCGGATGCAATTGAATAATGACGTGGTTTAATAGGTGCAATCATTTGAACCAAGTCTTCAACAGGTGGACGAGCAGATGTGAATTCGTATAATAAATCAGCATAAGTGATTGTATCTGCAACACGACGTTTAAAATCAGCAGAACCTTCACTACTAGAAATCCATAATAATCGTTTCTTTTCATTCTCATCGGTGGCATAAGGAGCCAAAGATTCATAAAAACGTTTAGCAGGTCGACCAAATATATCAAGAATTTGAACAAATACTTGGTGTATTGTTTTTGTTTCAAATTTATCACCTTCTCTGTTAGGTATTGAAATAAGATAATTAGGATTTAATCCATAATATTCTAAGAATTCACCAACTTCTTCGGGATCATTATGACCATATACACCCAAAGCTTCACCTAAATCATATTTCAAGTCAGTTCCAGTCGTATCAAATTCAATATGAAATAGGTAACGATCATATGTTGTAGGTGTAAGTCGGCGGTTTTCAGAAACAGTAATAACAAAAGTTTTTTCCGCCATGTCAGGTCGTTGGATATTACTGAAACCAAAAGCCTCCTTAAATAATAAATTATGAACGGCATTATGCCAAGATCCAAGTTTAGGTTTAACATTTAACTGAAGATCAATTGATCCTCCGAAAGAATTATTGTCTACAAAAGAGGGTAAGGTATGATCAGACTTTTCCAAAATTTGCCATGCTGGAGGAGGATCAACAAAAGTAAGTGCTTTATCGGTTTCTTGAAAAGCTGAATTAAGAATAAGACTAAGTTCTTTTTCATTATTGCCATCGTAAAGCTCTGAAAGGGAATCTTCCAAATCACAGTCAAACTTAGCTTCGCTAATAGTCAACTTTAAAAATGCTATTTGTAATATCAAACTGATATGGTCATCAGCATTCAAGCCTAAATCCCGAACTACTTTATTCGCATCGATTAAATATAATTTAATCTTACGCTTAAAAGCTTCATATCTGAAATCAATTGGTAGTTTAGTTTCTAAATCATCTGTGGTCCAATTAGTATTAAGGAGAACGATAGCACCTTCTTTAGCGGGTGCCAAAATATCGTATTTGCCAATAAATGTGGCATCATGGATTGAGATATATTCTGCATCAGCTTTAAGATCATGTAATATATCTGTAATTTCGTTCCCAAATAAGAAACTGGTAGTAATGACACCACCATTATTATATGCATCAAAGGTAGAGAGACCAGAAACTTTTAAATGCGAATGACGAGTGAATACATTTGCAATGTGTTGGTTGGATGATAAAGTTCCTTTAGACTCAACATCCCAAAATACACATCGTTTTACATTACTTAATGTTGATTGAATCTGAAAATTATCTGATGAAGGATCAATATTAAAATCAATATTTACTCCTGATTCTAATTGCTGCAAAAGCGTATTAACAGTAGAAGGTGTGAATTGTTTGGACATAGGATATTTTGCATCTATTAATTGAGGCATACGACCATTCCATGAATCAATCATTGAAGCCACAACGTCATTGAATAATGATAAACCCACATCATGTGAGCCATCAGAATTTAAGGCGACTTGCTCTAATATGGCAACTTTTTTTACTGTCTTGGGTACCATTGCTAGAAAATGTTTTTCGGACCATGGTCGGTACAATCTGATGATGATAACTCCAACTTTTTTACCATTATCGCTAAGATGCTTCACTATCTCTTTAACGATGGCAGTTTCTCCACCACAGGAAACTAACAATATGCTGGCATCACGAGATCCAACATATTCAAATGCACGATATTGACGTCCGACAAGCTTTCCGACCCTATTTATAATACTTTCGATTTTATCCACAATTATTAATGTTTTTGCTGATGGTGGACCATTTGATGGGTTTGATATTTCTTTATTTAATTTAAGCATTTCGTCATAAGGAATGAGGTTTAATGAAGAATTTCCACAAGCGGCCTTAACACCATCAAATATATGTAAGAATGGCGTTTTTGTTGAAGCAGAAATTAAATGTGTAATTAATGCGATATCATGCATTTCTTGTGTGGAATAAGAGTTTATGATTCCAAAACCTGTGTCACGTGCCATTAACGCGTCATAATAATTAGCGATATTGTGCAAGTTATCATTGAATCCATGAGCGGATACATGGATTGTTAATGGTATTCTTTCTTTAGAGATAGTGTATAGATTCGGTAACATTGATACAATGGATTGTGATGATGCAAAAGCTACAAGCTTCCCGGAATACGCAAGAGATGCAGCACCCGAAATTGCTAATGAAGCACCAGAACGCGTATCCATTTTAATAACATTGCACACTTTTCCAAAAGCATTTTCCATATTCTGTGTAGACCAATATAAAGTCTGTTCACCAGAATAATTAGAATGCGTTGCTGGATAAATAAAAATAGTATCACTTAGAGCGTAGGCTACATGTGCTATTGCAGTTCTATTGTCCACAAATTTAGCACCACCAGCAGAGAACAAAGGGTAGTTATCAACAATTTTTGATTTGAAAACAATGGGCACGTCTTCAATAATTGTAGAGGACGTTGATGACACTTCAGACTTATCAACTTCAATATTTGCATATTCAGAAGTTAATTTTTTAATATCTTTTTGTGTAAGTTTTGCAAGTTCATCAAGGGATAACGAACTAGTTAACTTGGAAAGGACAGACATGTTCGCAGAGCCAAGATCTTGTTTGAGAAGTATTACATTGCTAATAGCGTCTTTTGTGTTATCTGGCAAATTTTCAATAATGTGTTGCCTAAGTTTACGCGCAACATGAGGACCGGTACCATTAGTCGAAATCGCAACTTGAAGGTGGCCATCTCGATAGGTTGGCATAAGCCAAAAATCACATAATTGAGGTATTTCTGCAACATTTATGGGAATTTTTCGTTCACGGGCGGTAATCGCAATTTTATTTGATAATTGTACGTCATCAACAGCGGAGAAAATAAGATCGATGGGGTCATCTGTTTTTGTCAGATAGTCTGAGTTAAATTCGCCATCCTTGTGTATAATGGAATGTTTTTCAATATATTCTTTAACTTTATCGGAGATCTTTGATTTTGGGGTTATGAGCGTTATCTTTCGAGGCTTAGCGTCCAAGACAAACTCGATACGGTTTGCAGCAATTTTGTTACCACCAATGATAAGCACATGGTGACTTTGCAATCTCCATCCGATTATTAAAGAATTAGGCTGCGTAGAGTTTTTACTCATCTCTTTTTTTTTTTTTGGAAAGTATCTTTTTTTTTTTGGAGTTAAAATTTGATGAACTTCTTTCTCCTTATTCGAAATTTGCTGTTTGTATTGCACAATTTAAAAAATTTTTTAGATCATCAGCGCATTATCTTATTGGCTACTTGAGTGAGATTACTAATACACATTGATCCAAAAAAAGGTCATATTGTACATACAACGTGAGTAAGATAAACATTTCATATGAATGTAGATGTTCAAATCGCGTGTAACCATGAAACAGATAAATATGTATAATTAAACCGTACAATGCATCCAGAATTAGGTACGAAACTATTCACTGAGAGTTAGGGTTATCTAAAATTGTGTACCCATCTTTAATGTCGACATTATATTGTGCGCCGAATATCGATAACTAATATGTAATAACAGTGAATTATAATTTCCTTTAAATCAGATCCAAATTCGAATTCAAAATACGAAAAAAAGAATGATTTTCACAAACTGCAATATTTTCAGTTATTTGATAGACACGGAATTTGAATTATAATCACTTTCGAACTAAATAACCTTATAGTATTGAATCTCTTCGATCCCGATCCATATTTTTTAATTATATACAGTATATATATTTGTTTATACAGGTATTACTGTATTATGGCCAATTACAAAAACAGCGCAAAAAAAATTTTTTTAGTTCGAAAAAAGAATTATTATTTGTTTTATAAAAATCTATAAATATAGAAATTGTGATTATAAATTTGAAATCAGATAATATGTTCAAATTTTGAATGACAAAAATATGATAAAAGCATAATGTTGATTTTGACAACTTTGTCATGCAGATACATCCTGCAAAAACCCCATCTAGGATTATATTAATTATGAAAAAAGTAACATTATAAGAGATGTGATACAACTCCTACTATTTTGATTTGTTAGCTAGTAAAGCTAAAATCGGGTCCAAACTCTATTAGGTAATTTATAGTACATTATCCCCAGATCATCAAATTCTTTGATGAGCATCATTGACGATTAAATCGATCATCTCAATTAACATGGGAAACTGTCGGGAAATTCCGGAAACTAGATAATCAACTTATAATATTTTATATACTACGCATCACTACAAGCTAAATCTATGAATTTCTGTTCATTACCTACTTTCATTTTTCAATCCCTGAAATTCCATCAGCCGAATAATTCACCATATGTAGGCCTTAAATTCGTTTAATTCGTCTGCACGTCATTATTACTAAGTTTTCTATTCGCACAGCGAATCAGATGGATTGGTATCTTCGTCTCAAGATGTTGGTTCAATCGTGCGTTTCATGGTTCTTCACGTATAATGTTTGAAAAGAAAAAAGAGGAAACCCATATTTTTCCTACAACATCGATTTCAGAATTACAAGATAGGCCTTTTCCAAAGACATCGGCATATCTAGTTATAGGTGATGAAATTCTCGATGGAAAGACTGTTGATTCAAATTCTGGATTTTTCGGTATTCATCCTATGATCTTAATGCTTATATAATGCATAATTATTGGTCAACATATAATTGATAAATATTTTTTATGATCGTAGCTAAATTTTGTTTTAATCATGGGATTTACTTGAAAAGAATTGAAGTAATTCCGGACAAGGAAGAGGTACTAAATTTTATGATTTTATATACTTTATTTTTTTATTGACACTTTATTCTGTTAATAGGAAATAATTGAAGCCGTAAGGCGTCTTAGCAGTAATTACGATCTTGTCGTTACTAGCGGTGGCATTGGTTAGTCACTTTCAATTGTTCAAGTGTTGGTTTTTTTTTCGATACTTCTGAAATCTTATAAAGACATTATTTAGGACCTACTCATGATGACATCACGTATCTGTCAATTGCTCGCGCATATAATCTTCCGTTGGTTTATCATCAGTCAACGTTAGATCGTATGGCAGTTACAGGGCAAAGCGTATCATCTCACTTGAAATCATTGGAATCAAAGCCAACAAAAGCAATGATTGAAGCAAAACACCGAATGGCATTGTTCCCACAGTCATCTCGTGTTATTTTCCCTCATGAAAATTTCTGGGTTCCTATAGTTATTGTTAATGAGAATATTCATATCTTACCTGGTGTCCCAAAAATATTTGAGGCATTGCTTACTGGATACAGTAGATATCTTCTTAAAGGTGATAAATTTGTCAGAAAGTTTGTTAAAACATATTATCCAGAATCATTTATTGCACCGATATTAACGGAAGCTCAAGAGAAAGTAAAAGACTTTGGTGTTAAAATTGGTAGCTATCCTGAAATGACAGAGGACGATAAATACGTAGTGGTGATAAGTTTTTTAGCAAAAGGTAATGCAGAAGTTGCAGAAGTTGTTGAAAAAATTTCCAAAGAGGTTTCTAAAAAGATAGAGGGTGTGATCGTTGATTAATCTAGAATTCCAATTTGCAGTATCATATTTATAAATAACAAATATTATCTAATAGGTTCTGTAAATCATATAAATACTATTTAAATAAATAGCTTTTAGCGTTAAAGAATATAATCACTAATTAGCCAAAAGCTATCAGATTATTTATTATAATATGATTTATTAATATACAATTTTTCTTTAATATTACAACTAAGCCTTTATATAAGGAAGCGAATTGTGATTATTTTTTCTTGTTATAAATAGGATTATAATAGTAAACCCATCATAATGATTTATTATGTTTATTGACAAATATGGAGTCGAAATGGTAAATTACTAATATAAATTACCAGGATGTATTCATTTTGATAATAAATTTCTATCATACATGGTGAAGCTATATTTAAGATTAATTATTTGGCTAGCAATCAAGTTTAAAATTCGGTTTTTCTTTGTATGGTTGCATTATTCAATAATTTACTGGTAATTACCTACCGTAGATTTTTATGAATTTCGACCTTGAACAATATAATCATAATTATTAGGGTCTTAATATTTGACACTAATATTTTTAATAAAATTGTTTATATGTTTATACCTGATATTATCCATAATAATTATTTAAATAGCTTCTATTGTTATATTTCTATCACTATACACAAAGGCATTGAATTTTCCAGACTCGTCTCTACTCCAGGTTGAAAAAACAACAACATATCCTAAGTAATAAAATCAAATAACTTAACATTAAACATTTTAAGCAAATTTTACAATTTAATTTAATCAATCTACCTTCATTATTATGTGGTAACGTAACATCATCTGTACAAACCCCCTATTTAAAAAATATTTTTTGATATTATTGAACATTCGTAGACATGTAAATCAAAATAGAATAATTACTTGTGGAAAGTTTGCATAGGGCCCTGAATTTCCAATTTCATTGCCCAAAAATTTGGTTGGATGTTTTTCATATATATTAACACCAAGCATCGGCGATGGTTTTATATCAGATACTTGAAGCCGAATTCTTTAATAAAGAAAGTAATTCTTTAATAAAGAAAGTGATTATCAAAATATTACAGTTCAATGGAAATTCTCTAATTACTTGCACCTACTTTATAGTAGTCATTTCCTTGACTTTTATGTGGTAACATGGATTTTTGTTATAGTCAGTATTATCAACACAACCCATTGCATTAACTCCCTTTATCCTAAAATTTATATCAATTAAGTAAATTTGATTAATAAATCATTGAATATTAGATTTTACCAACCATTCACCATGAATATCTCTTCTGTATAAGCCCTAACAAAATATAATAAATTAATAGTCAGAGTCACTTATAATTTATGCGTAACATACAAGATCATATAAACTTACTGCGCCCTCAAGGGGTATTGGAGTCAACTTAAATTCAAAGTTCGATGCGACGGTTAAAACATAATCACCAACAAGACCGGGCTCGAGTGTTGATACGACGATAGTATAATCACCGGCTAATAAATTAACAAATTTTTTATTACACTTTCAAATAGTTTCCCAAAAATAGGAATAATTCCATTTACGTCGTATATCCTCCATTTCACAATAGCAAAACCCATAATTGTAACCAGTAGACTGAACTAGAATATCTTTAGCCAAAACGCTTGATAAACAAATAATAAAAAATTTTAATACATATTTGCCAAGTAAATAGAAATATTATATTAAGAATCGTTATTAATTACCTTGTGATTCTTTTACCATTACCCCAGACTAATTTAACATGCATTGCATACTTTTTCGGTCCTTCTAACATAAGTTGTATCCGTAGTTTATCCTCAGGGGACTTGCAACTTTGTGGATCCATAGATAATCGATATTGTGGATTGTTTAAATAGGTGATTTCATTCGGATTTCCTCCTGCAGTTTCCGTAGTCCATTTACCAACCACCTGAAAAAATGACGAAAGTTAGATAAAATAAATTTTTTACATTGATTTAACAAACAATTTATATTAAACAAACTTGTTTTTCAGTTGGGTATTGTTTTTGAACTTCTGTAATTTCTGTTAATTCAAATTGTGACATGCAATAGCATTTTAAAGTGAATTCCAAGGATTTAGTTTCGCTGACTTCTTCTTTTCTTTTGTCAACTACTATAGTGTATCGACTCTCTCCAGGTGGTGCATTAAACCGAAGCTATTGATACATAATTTTAATTTTTGTTAAGACGTATATAAATAAATTAGCATTCATAAATATGCATTTAAAAAATATCATTGTTCTTACTAAAATATGCTGACTATTCACGTATATTCCCTGTAAAATCAATAGTTACTATATAATGTCCTATAATTCACGATCAGGGACAACTTAAATATACCTCTTTCCAAGGAGTACTTGGGTAAAAAATCCTTTTCCCCTCTGTTTCATTATATAAATGAAGGGTGATAAAATCTCTATTCTTTCCAGTAGTCGTAATATGTTTAGACAACAAAATGTAAGTTGCTGAGTCCTTTTTTGTATCATTTTTTATTTCTAAGAAGAACTGTGGATTGTATCCTAAGTTGTACGTAATGTGTTAAATAAATAAAACTCAGTAATTTATTAGAATAAAAGGAAAAAAAATTCACCTAAATTTAATGTATCCTTGGGCGCTGAAAAGTTTAAAGGCCACGATCTAACATTTACAATAAGAAAAATAATAGTAGCAGAATAATTACAGAAAAAAGGAATAAAATGATTATAAAAGTAATATAACTCACGTATGCAATATTAAATAATATTCAAAGAATTCAGGATTCCAACTCATATGTATCAAATAAAAATTTTTACATACAGAATCGAAATCAATCCAAAAGATTCCTATAACATTTCAAATAAAACTTGACTCAATATCGGGCGTTAAACCCTACATACATTGTATTATATGAAGATTCTGAAAATAAAGAAATTCAAGTCATAATCCTACCGTCATCATTGTGAACTGCTTGTAATCTATCATAATTTAACAATGACATTAGCTCAGGTGTCCAATTAATTGTATCTAAATGACTATATGGTCCTATCCATCGTTTAATATTCCAAGGATTTTTAACCTAAGTTATAATATTGATGAGAATGGCTCAAGAAGGCACCAAATAGCTAATGATAAACAAATGGTTGAACAACATCCACCTGCAGTAATTGCAAACCATTAAACTCCCGGGCATCTAAATATCATAAAAAGAATACCAATGCGTATATTCAATTTCCAGCTAACATATAATGACTTTAATATATAACTTCTTACCTAATACTGCGTATGTATGTGTTGGAACGAGGCCGACACCATCAGCTTCATTGTCGGTCATATTGCCTGTGGTAATCGTTACTAAAGTTTGGCCTATTACAAATAATGTTGTATCGAGGTAAATAATATAAAATTATTAACTTAAAATTTACTATTATCAGATTTACCTTTTTTATGTCCCATCAATAATCGCCTCCAAACGGTATTCTTATTGAAACTCTTACTATATGAAGTATATACATGACGTGAATATAAAAAAAAAGAGACCTCAACCATAGAATCAAGTTAAATGAAATTTACTCAGCAATAAAAATAAGCTCAGGAATCCATCCAGTAAGAGTACTATGTGCATAATAAAATTTTAGCAATTTGTTGTTGATAAAAACGCGTAAAATAATACATACTGTAGATCGATCCCGGAATTTCTAATAATTAGCAATAGTTATGAGAATAATAAATACAATCAAATATAAAAAAAGAATTTCATTTGAAGACTGTTTAAGTACATACGACCCTGGGAAATCGTATCCACCCATCACTTTCATATACTACCATGTTAATTACATATAAGTATTAGATAATAAATTCAATCATAAAATATAGAATCATAGGTTTACTCACAGCTTTTTCAATAATGCTAGGCCATAATTCCCCCTTGTTTGTGGAAAAGGTACACATTAGATTTCCGTCCCGAGACACCGGGAATAGGTCATCAATAACTTCAGAATATTAGTAAAAGTTTATGGAAATAAAATTGGCATTATATCAAGAATATAATACAAGGATGACATAAATTGATTATTTACCAACCTAAATAACCAAGGATCAAAGTAGTGAATAGTCACGTACATAAAATGCTTATAAATGTTGTACCTGAAGCTGCTACCTGTCTGGAGTTATCGCTTCAGTATGCCTGACCAAATTAGGTCCTGTAATTAGAGCTTATTGTGTGCATTAAGCAGTAATTTCAGGCAGTTGCTACTTCAGATGCCTGATGTGGCAACCCCAGGAAAGTGGCAACTTCAGGCACAACATAAATATATTAAACACATATTTAAATTATGCTTACTTTTCTTGCAATGCCATTAAATATTAGCCTAATCATATATTTTCCACTTGGGTTATATACGGGACCATATTCTCCTTGTGGAAAGATACAACTTGTAATTAACTATTGAAAAAAAAAGATTAAACAAAGTACCATGCTTAATATTGTAAAAAATAATAATAACAATATTGACTTGTTTTTCGAATTTTCGTTCGTATGCCGCACAGACGCACATAGAAGCGACAAAAGAGCAATCAGTAACAATATCCTATAGATTAAAAATGACATATTAACTACATATCACTAATGACTCAATGAACACTAATAATTTTGTTACCTGTTTAACAGCAGAACTAGAAATCATGACAATCATTTTCGGATTGTCCATAATATCAGATGGTCGAACCCACCCTCCAAAGTTCTTCCTTTGTATATCAGATAAGGGTAGTGTACCATCTGGATCTCTATAAGATGATATGTAATATTATTTAATATTCATAATTTTTAAAACATAACCCTTACTAACACAGATCTAGATCATACAAAAATGGTTTATCAAATTTAAATTCTTCTTTTAAATCGGTTTCAAGCCATGGCAGATAATTTCTTCCATTAATATTGGATGTATGTTTAAGTATATCAGTTTCTTCTTTTGTAAGTTTGCATAAAGATGTACTCGTCCCATAATTTGCCGATTGTACAGCTAATAAATTGACTAGGTTAATAAAAATAGAAGCACCACATAACTCATAATGATCAACACGGTAGATCTGATACTATACTTAATAACGACATCCTCTTCATCCTCTTTGTTGGTAAACCTTTTAATTCTTCAGCTCTATCAAGCAAATGCTTTACTTTGGTAGTCAATTTTTGATGGAGTGATTCGTTTTTTGTCTCTAAGTATTAAATAAAATAATTATAAAAACGTTGATAGGAAAAGATTTTTTTTTATATATCCCTTTTCGTACAAAAGGACATTTAATTTGTACAAAAGGACATTCAATTTTGTACAAAGTGACATTCAATTTTGTACGAAATGACATTTAAATTCGTACAAAATGACATTTAAAATAAGTTTGATTAAACATGGATATCTCGTGATTTAATGATTCAATTTAGATGATTTTAGTATCATTCGAATTGTCTCATCGAGAGGATTCGAATGATACCAAAATAAATATTATTTTCTACGAAATAGAATGTCACTTTGTTCTTTTGTACGAAATTGATGTCAAAAGGGATAACGTGAAAACAAACCTTTAATAGCATTTAAGAAAATCTCTGCAGCTTTTGTATATAAATCCAAAGCTTCTGTGTAATTTTTTTGTTTATCTTGCGATTCAGCTTGATTTTGAATTGACTATATGTATTAGAAAAAATATAAGTGAATTAAAAATATTGATAAAATGTATGTTAAAATATGCATAAAAGTAAAACCTGTGCTTGGTTTAAAATGTTGTCTAATGTCGACCCATGAGAAACAGTATGAGTATTTGGTAGATTTATTGTATTCGTCAATTCGCCATCTAATTGTTTAACAAGCATTTTATATTCATGACATTTTGTTGATATTTTATTTCTCTTGATTTGATCAGGTTCAACTATTTTTACAACCGTATTAAAGTGGTTAGTGTCGGTTAGGAATGAACTTAAGAAAGTGAGCTAATAAGAACTAACTTTTAATTATAGATCCATATATCTTGTAAAATTATTCGAAAGATTCATTAGAAAAATTATCTGTTATGTTTTTATGATTATTTAAACGTAAAGATCGTCTTTATTTTATCATTCTTACATTTATTGCTTCTATGTAGTGCTTCTTAGCCATTTCCCTATTTCCCATTTTATACTCATTACCGGCCCGGTTGACAATATCAGAGGCTCGCTCATATTGCCTTAGAAGTTCATTTGCCGAATTTTGTCGCTGTTTTTTGTTCATTATATTAAAATCACGAACTTAGTATTCTCTAAAAATAAAATTACGTCACTGGATTTAACATATAATTTTTTAACGTTTTTTTTCTAATTTTTTTTTTTTTGGTTTTTTTTCTGCTTATCGTTCCAATTGTGATTATACAATGTGTACTCAAGTATTGCAAAAGTTGTCGATTATTTAAGAAATCTGATTTTTTTTTTCTAAAAAAAGTTACTTTAATAAATGCTTAAAACGGCAAAGTAAATTCAACGATGAGAAAGAAAAAAATTTAGTATATTTTTTTTTCCTTTTTTCTAAGCGCAAATGATGTATCAAATAATTTTAATACTATGTATATATATTATTATTCAAGATTAATGATATAATCGAAAGATTGACACAGTAGAAAATGTTACCGCTTTATATTAGTCCCTAAATTTAGCTAATATAAATTTGGGTACTCAACTTCCACAAATTCTCCGTGATGCATAACAAGTTACAGCATAAACCATAACAGTTACTACCACATCAAATATCCAAATTGTAGTTTATGTAAATTTCGACATAATTTTCTACTACGTATAGACTCCTAATTAAGTTAATTACATAGCTTTTTTTTAAGGGTATGCTAGGGAGATTTTATATTCTCCGCACTTTCTATTGGCTGCCTTATGTCAAATTAAAATTTATCACCAACCGAATTCTTAACCGTTAACCGCGACATCTTGATTTGAGATGTCACGTCTTAATGATCACGAAAGTTTCTAAGCGAACGTGTCTTCATAAAATACTTCAAAGAAAAAGGAGGCAATGATCCGTGTTCGCACATACGATATCGCTTTCGGAGTGGGAGAGAACCCAGGCTCTAGGAGAAGCTTTCGAAGAAGAAATGACCGATTCCTAAACAATAGAGCTATTACCCTGGCGGATCAGATACTGACTTGGGTCATATGAAAAATCATAAAGATTTTATAGTTAACACTTGCAAAAAAGTTATGTAACGACTCTTATTTAGAGCTATTACCTGGGTCAATAGTTATGTAGGTTACTCTTAAGAGTTTAAAGAGTAGAGTTTATAGAATTTTAATTTTATGTTGTTCCTGTTATATTAATATATAGCAAATACTTAAACCGGAACTTTTCAGATTTTGTATCCAAAAATTTCTCAACCTTGCTCGTAATTTGAGTTCATCCATTTTCTATGTCAGAAAATACTTTGTCGCTAGATTTTATCTATATTATCCATGTTTTCTATGACCATTGAGTTTGATTTTCTAAATGTGCTATTTTAAACGAGGATGTTGAATGTGTGCCGTGTAGGTGGCGCATTAATCAGCTACAGTATTTATTTTATACAGCACGTTTGTAAAAATTTCTTTTTGAATGAAAATTTTCACCAAGCGTTTCATTAACTGTGGGGTTCTATTTTTTTTGTGAATTGAAGATATAATAATACGTAATGGTCAACTCTCTTTTAGGGTGAGTGGCACGGCAGTCACAGGCATGCCTAAGAATAAAATAGTTCCACATATATATGCTACGTACGTACATCTATTGTCAAAATTGAACATAAGAATACGAACAATGGATGGGTGATATGATAGCGTGCCATTGGTATGCCAGGGTGGCATTCTGGTATGAAATATGCTAGGTGGCATGCCACACACCCCTACTCCGAATACTGTATAATAAAAAGGGTCTTTATAAAGAGAGTTAACTGTACTCTGCACGTAAGTATAGTATATACAGATATTACTGTATTACAGTAATGGTCAATAAAGCTTATAAATTTAGTTTTAAAAGTGAACCCCTTTAATAATTAGGGAACGCTACTATTATTCTTTTTTTAAGATATGGGTCAGTTCGTACCGTTATGAGTATTCGGGCACTTTTGATCAAACTTTGATAATTCATTGGACCATATCCTTAAGTAGATAGATGCTCTACTTTTAGTGCAAGTCTTATCACATAATATCATATAACAATTTATTACAATTCTTGTTCAAAGGTTCAAAATTTCTATTGTCATTAACCTTAATTATTAAAATTGATTGAACATCGATATTTCAATTTAAGGAATTTTGCCCGAATACTCATAACGGTACGGACTGACCCATATAGTTTAGATTATAAGAAAGCTTCTTTCATTTAAAGAATTATTTTATAAATTATATTATATATTATCAGTTAACATATTTTGAAAGTTATCATTGGTTGAAAACTATTAATTTATAATTATAAAAATAAAAAAGTACGATATTTCTTTGAATTCAATAACAATAATATTTAGAAGCTAAAAGTTTGAAGAAATGAAGCATATTTTTTGACTTTAGAAAATGATGTTTTCGTTCTACTAAAATTTATTATCATTAAAATTTTTTTATTTGATGCAAATTACTTTTGGTTGATTAGTGCGCCATCAACCTGGCACACATTCAAGAATTGCCTTGTATCTATTTCTTTATCTATCACACTAGCTCTCGTGCTCGCTCTCTCTCGACCCGCTCTCGAAGCCATCTGTTACTTTTCATTCCCAGGCCTAGCAAATTACAAGTTAAACGAAGTTATCAATGAATAAGAGCAGGCTATCAAGATTATTGGTACTCGCAATCTTGTTCTCTTGCCTTTTTATTTTTTTTTCTGTCTTAATATTTATATTTTATTTTATTGCATCAATACTGATGCCATTATTTATTATTATAATAAAGGAAAATCAAAAATTTAAGATATTGATAAGGAAAACTGGCTGGTCTTATCTTGAGTTCGTAATAAATATACGTTGATTTCTATAATTTAGCCTCAATGAGTAAAGTGAGGTTATGTATAAATATTAAAGAAGAGTTAATTTATTATAGTGGAACTTGGATATAAGTGATTGTTTGGATTTGGCTATGTTTTATTAATTTATTTAATTTAACATATACAAAGTTATGAGGTACGATTCAATATATATGTCGTACCTCAAATTAGAATAGGCGTAGGTTTAAAATTGAGTCGCGTAAAATTAAATTTTGACTCTGAAATGCGTCAGACTGGCATTGTCATACTGAAACACGCATAATAATAAACGACATGATAATTTTAATAAAATAATAAATTAATAAATATATTGGATCGCTTAAAATATTTTACATACCATTTATGTATTTTATAAAGGTATTCCTTTATTACATGTAAAACTTTCGGTAGCTATTTTAGTAATTTCATTATAATATAATTTATCGTTATAAAAATGGGGGTTTCAAAGTTAACAAGCATTTTGAAATTAAATGAGAGTTTGAAAAATCTTATTTGTTTTTCAAGATTTTAAAATCGGAAAATGAAATGGGAGTGTTTGGAAATCCCCACTTCATGAAATCGGAAAATTTTTATAATACTTCATAAAAAATACTAAAAAGTAAAACTTTCGTTCAAATTGAAGATAAGATCAAATTGCCGGATCACTTATTTCAAAATAAATATGTCATCAATTTCAACTGAAATTAGATTTCCGCGGTTTAACTTTGAAACCCGAAACCCCTAATGCATTTAATTCTTTATATTTATTTAGATTGGTTCTTCTTCACAGCATTCTTCTTTATATTGAAAAATTTAACGAACAAAAAATAACAGTATTACGAAGAACATGTACTGTACGTGCGTATGTACATAAAAAATTCCGATTGATTTTATTACTGTATGACGCATAATAGATAAATTGATCTGACGCATCTCAAAATCAAATTTCATGCACAACATATATAATCTCAAAAGACCAAATTTCTTTAGAATAAACGCGAATAAAAGTAAATCTTGATTCTAGCAAAAAATAGAAGTTGAATAATTGAAGTGACCTTTGATACCCATAAAATATCATATCAACGGAAGAAAATCTCAAAAAATTTCCTATAAGAAATATTCTTTGGGATGACCACTTTATTCACCCAAATCAACTATTGTCGAATGTGTAACCTGGGCGATTTCTAAGGTTTGCTAAAAAAAATTAACAAATACAATAGAAAAGTGTAATTCGTAAGATACAATCAAATTAATCAAATTGCAAGAACATATGACGCAAAAGAATCCACAAGGAACACTGTTAACGATAGCGCATAAGCCTTTGATCTAAGAATTCATTCTTATTAGCAATATTGATTAAATCTCTCAATTGTTTTATCATATACAATTCAATTTATTTCTATATTTCTTATACTATAAATAATTGTCATGACTAAACAACGTTTAACGTGTCTAGTGATATGAGATTAAAGCAATGATGTAATAATAGTCTAATTTAAATATGAATATATAATGTGTGTTTTAACCAGAAAAAAAATAAATTTCTTGCTTTCTTAAGAATTTTGTATTCAAAGTTTTATAAAGAGGATGGTCTACGAAACTCATAATAAAATCACGGGCGAAGATGAATTTATGCGGATGTTCCGAATATATCGGACAACCCATGAAATGCTCAAAGATAGGGTAAATTTCTTGATTTACTAAAAATATATGACATTGTTAATTATTATCTTTTATAGGGATATGTTGTCCCGGAAGGTTTTGACACTTATAATTATTTTCATCGACATTGTGTCCGGGATGGTGAATTAGTGTATGTTGTTTATAATTCTTTGATTCTTAAAAAATATATATATAGTCTATTTCTCATTTGTTGTAAATCATTTAACAAAAAAGCAAAGAGTTGATGATGTTCCAAGTTCAAAAAGAACATTATCCTGGTGATCGCATTTTGGTTCTTTTTCCTGATAATAAAACTATTGGGATTAATTATATGAAAGAGTAAATATGTTAACCATGTATATACTGTATGAACATACGTACGTACCCTTTAAATTAATTATTTATTGTCTATTTTAGCGTTTGCGTTCGTTTGAGAGATCTTCAGATAGGTAAAGCGATTATCGTATATCCCGGCACGTTTACCATACAAGCAAACAAGGTAATAACGTTCTTTATATCTGAATATAAATACCTAATATTTTACTAAATATATATTTGTTTATTGTTAAATTAGGCCGTTCAAA